AGCAGCAACATAGACAACAACAACTGCAATAAGTACAACAACTACAACAACTAGTTGGTAGAGCTCGCTCCTTTCCATGGGCTCTTTTTATAGGGCCACACTTCAATTTCAAATTGAAGCTCTCGGCTTTCTAGCTTCTCCTCATGCTTAAGTTCCATTTTCAGTTAATTTTTTTTCCATTTATTCATTTTGGCTTTAATTGGGGCTCGCTTACTTGCATTTTCGTTGTCAGTTTTGGATTCGCTCCCCAAGAACTTAGCCAATGGCAAATGCATTCTATTCTCTCCCCTTTTAACTTCTGGCTGTACTTTCGCATTTAATTACGAAAGTTTTTTAATTAAATTACTGTGAAGAACATCTGTGTCAGGCTGAGGTTCTTTTTTTCGGCTTAACATAATGCGCGAGAGAGCAACCCAAATAGCAGCACCCTCGATTTGTGTACTCTATCAATGTGAATCCCCGCATGAAACGAATCTGATGTAATTGTACATTCCCTTTATGTGAAAGGAAACCGATTCTTGGGTTTTGGTGAAGTTTGTAAAGTCTTGAAGCTCACATGCGAAATGCTAAGAAATATAATAATAGATATACATACATACATATGTATATAAATATAAAACCACAATTACCCAGAACATTGCCGGGCAAAGCTTACAATTTTTTGAGTTGCCCTCGCTGTAATTCCAGCGTGGTTTTTGATTATTTCTGAGTCGGTTCAGCAACTGTTTGAGTTGCCCTCGCAACTATTAAATTTGTACATGTTTTTATATATGACGTTCGCAGAAAAATCACCTCGTCTATCTGCTCTCAGGGGCTTATCTTAGGTCAATAAGTTGATAGCACATTCTCGCGCTTGGCTCAGTCGCTAAAATGAGCTCCGCGTGGCAAGCCCTGTTTCTTGTTGTGGTCGCACTCACAGCTGCCGATGCAGACTCTAGTCTGTCTATAGTTCCTCGCGCGGATTGGCATGCTCGGCCACCAAGTGGAGCAATGACAGCCATGTCGCTGCCATTGGGACGTGCAGTGATTGCGCACACGGCAGGACGCAGTTGTACGGATGATCAGAGCTGTGCCGAGCAGGTGGCCAGCATCCAGACGTACCAGATGATTCGCCTGAAATACTCTGATATTAGCTATCACTATCTGGTGGGTGGCAATGGTCGCGTCTACGAGGCTCGCAGTCCCAGTCAACAGGGTGCGATTGCCGCTGGCAATAATGCCAATAGCCTGGCAATCGCCTTCATTGGCAATTTTGATCTGGAGTCGCCCACGGACGCCGCTTTGGCCGCTGCCCAGTCGCTGCTGGAGCATGCTGTCAGCCAGGGTGAGCTGGCACAGAACTATGATCTGTTGGGCCACAGGCAGTTGAGCGCCACCAAAAGTCCAGGCGATGCGCTGTATACTATTATAAAGAGCTGGCCGCACTGGAGAAACGTGGGAGATGTGGCATAGGAATAGATTACAGAGACAAGTGCTTAAATTTCGACACGTAAAGACCACTCCTTACACATTTATTGTAAATATAATTATGTATAATTTGTTGTTTGCTTAAATACGAATACTAAACTTTTAATTTTGTTGATCTGTTTTCTCATTTAATTTGTTTATTAATATAATATGTTTTATTATATTTTGTTTTCTTTCATCTCGATATACTCGCGCGCCGAAACGTTTGGTTGTCGCTTTTGCAAAGCTCCCCGGGAGCACTGGGCCACAATAGAGATTTGAGACATCACATAGTATTCACTGAACTTCAAAAATAAAAACCTAAACTAACTTTACAGAATCTTAAAGCACAGAAGCAAAAGAACAGCTCACTTAATGCAGAGAAGATTAGAGGCAAAACTAGCTGGCTAGCAACATAATCAATATCAAGTGCTGATGCCAATATCAATTCAAATTTATATATATATAGATAGATACATATCCATATATATATATATGTGTTCATATAGATATATAGTTTATGATTTAGAAAATAGAAATAGAAAACAAGGAACTATACAAAATTCGTAAAGTACTTAGGTAAAATTGCACTAATGAACGCCACCGTTCGTGGCACCGTTTCCATTCTGCTGCTGTGCCGCCACGATGGGCAGTTGGAGCAGCCAATCTCTCTTCACCTGGCCCTCGGGCGTATCACCACGCTGTGCGCTTAGCGTTTGGAAGCACGTGGTCAATCCCACGCTGGGCGTGAACTCGGCTCGTTCCCGCAATTCCTCTTCTGTGGCCAGCATAATACAATCCTCGTCAATCTCCTCGCCATCCGCATAGGCCGGCTGATGTTGATCGAGGCCGTTTCGCTGCTGGGCTATGCTGTCACTGTTGCGCCGAAAGGAATCGTCGGTCATCCGCAGGAAATTATATAATGCCACACAGCCCAGCACCACTTCGTTGACGTGCTTCTCGCTAACGCGCAGTGGCTGCGCCAGTATTGGAAATATATTGCACAATATCCGCAACGTTTGTTCTGCATGAGCATTGATTTGTTCCAGAGCAGCGTATGCGGCACTTTCCTTGGCCACCAGCCGTGTGCTGACCAAGTACGACGTGCTCGGTAGCACCGCATCGCCGGCGAGATAATAGCCCTTGCGATGCGGCTCAGATTTGGCCTCCAGTGCCTGCATCTTCTGCTCGATATGATCGACGGCAGTGGTCTGGATGAAGATATCATTTGGTCGACTGTTCGCTGCACGCTCCACCTTCACATACTGGAAATTGTTGTCCGCATCGACGATGGCCGTAAAGATGACTGCCGCACGCTTGCGTTCGTCGTTGCTGATGCTGTTCTGCAGCTGAATGCTGCGCATAAACAGATTACCCACACACTGGGGCAGATTATGTTTGCGCTCCATTTCGGTGGCCGCGTTGCGCCACTGCTCGTCAGTCTTTGGTAGTGTCACGTATTGGTCCTTCAGGTGCTCGTAGATGCCCATACAGATATTGGCAATCATTTCGTTTATCACAAATTTTGAGGCACGGAAGCAGTAGTTTCGACAAGAATGCACTTCACCTGCAACATATACACATATATCATGATGTATATTAATCATTCTATATATATAGTTTTAGAATGGGATTGAAATCAATTTATTAGTATTTTGCTTACCCGTTGCCAAATACTTGAGCGTTATGGCCAGACGCTCTTCGGCGCTGAAAGATTTCTTTTTGCGCTGCGGCGCATACTGACTGATAATGGGCTCCAGTTTCTCTACCAGATAACGAAACTGGCTCTCGGTTATGGCTAGGAAGTAATTCAAATGGTAGCACTCGTCCTTGCGCGACTGCAACTCACTGAGCAGGTTCTCCTTACTGAGAAACTCCGATTGGTTCTTGCGGAGCCACTCTTTGGTCCATTCAAGACGCCGTCGCGTGTTCAATATGCCAGCTAGGTCGAGCGCACTGATTTTAGATGTTTGCGGCCGTGTGAGCACCGAGGTGCGTGCCGCACCACTCGCTCCTACTGCAGCAGCACCACCACCAGCTGCATTCAGTGCATGGGCATCATTGCGTTCTGGTCCAGGGGCGTTGCCATTGCCGTTGTCGTTGCCATTGCCATTGGTATTGTCCTGCGTGACCCCATTCGCAACAGCCGCACCCACGCCCACCTGATGACTGCCAACGCCAGCAGCGACGCCGCCGCTGCGATTTACATTCGTGCCACCGTCGCGCTCGCGCAGCACACCGATAACCTTTAGTTTGATTTTTTCCATTGCCTGGAAATGTATTCAAAATTTGTAGTGGGCATCTCTCATCAAAACAGTTCGTCAGTTCATCGTACACGCCCCGCCCCGCCCACGACAACCACTCGCCCTCGTGTACAGGGCTGTCACAGTCGTTTGTGTGTGTGTTTGTGTGTGTATGACTGTGGCGTTTTGTGCAACAAATCGATTTTTACTCACCCTCACTCTCCGCTGCGTTGAAATGCCTTTCGCTGCTGCTGCTGTTGCTCCCGTTCCTTCGTGCCTTCGTCTTTACCGTTGCTGTTGCCGTCGTCGTTGCTGTCGTTGTCGTCGCTGTGTGTATAACCAGTTTCGTTCTTTGAGGAGAACACGGTTTGACTGTTGTATAATTAGAATTATTTGCACCACTGTCTCAACATTCGTTTTATCTTTATCTTCAGTGAATTTCACAAATTTGCACGTAGATTTTCGTTTTGATCTATCATCTGATTCTTGGCTTTTGTGAATTCAATACGATATGCGATAGCAACAACGACGAAGAATCTGAAATTTTGCCCGTAATTTCATAGTCAGTTTGTGCGCTGTCTTATATTGTTTAACTTTGTTTTAGCTGCTATGCAATTATGTGCTTAAAAACCACATTTTTCTTGATTTTTTCACTATGCAGTTGCCCTTCTTCCAATTTTCTGTTCCATACGCACGAAGTATTGCTTGTTCGCTTCGTCTTGCTGCTTCGTCAGCTGTTGCTTTCGTCGTCAGCTGTAATGTGTTGAGGTGCAGTGTTGTCGAGCTACCTGCTGCAGAAAATGCCAGTGGAATATTGAATTGATGCAATGAATTTGGTATTTTTTTCATTTCAAATGACAATGTAAGCAAGCCTGCTGCTTAAATAATACGTGATTAAATCTAAATCTAAACACAGTCAGTTACAAAAAATTATTATAGAAAATGTTTCTATTTCTTGTTACAAAATCTGTTTGTAGTTTGACCTATAATTGAAATCAAAATACTGACTTAAAGATTTTAAAGTACGCCAGTGAAATCCACATTCAGGCTAAGAATTTCCGTCCTTGCCTTGGCAGCCCCAAAATCAGTATTTTATAGTAATTTAAAAATACTAAATAATCAGTTTCAAACGATTATAACGGCCATTTTGTTTTCGAGTCAGCCATTTCACGTACTTTTTTTTTATGGTTATGTGAGTACGCCATAGATCCAAAATAAAACAATTATAGCCATTTTTTATTAAGCATTTTATTTGGTTATTCATACGCGTGTGGTTTACAATACAAATAATGTTTTTTTTTCTTGTTTTGTTTTTTTTTCTATTTGTTGTATGTTTTTAACACAAATATTATTATATGTATGTATAATCCAGTACACTGGCGATGCTAAGACATTGTAATCTTGTAATAATTTAGTATTAATTATGAATACACGGCAAAGATGTGCATTACGAAAATTAGCATTAAGTATACGACTCTGTTGTATGTTTGCGTCTTTATGTGAATAATTACCATACATCGGCTGTGTTCATCTTGTATATAAGTAATTTAAATTTTATCTATGCAAGTTTCTGTTTGGTTTTGTTTTGTTACTGTATAATAATATAATGTATGCATTTATGTATATTTTTCATTAAAATATGCAAGCGTAAAAATTTGCTTGGTTCTTGTAAAAAATGAGACTTTAAAAGCATTTCACTTCCCAGGCCTTCACTACTTGCTCTTTACATCCGTTTGCAATTGTATATTTTGCTTAAATTAAACTACAATAATAAGCGACTCATTTAATACATACATATAATAGATATAACTACATCAAATTAAAAGCAAATGTGGATTCTGCATTCGATTACAATGCGTTTAGCTCGATAACTCTTGTTTCTTTGAAGATTTCATAAACATGTAATTATAAAACATTAAAGCCAATTATAGAAAAATGTGTATTAGCTTTCGCTTCCATATTCAACTTTGCGATTTTTTATAGTTTTTATAAATATATAAAATATATATATCTATGCATGTATATATATTTATTTATTATTTAAAACTCATGTGAATGCATTTCATATTCATTTAAAATGTTTATACTGATGAAAAAATGACGAATTTGCTAGTTTTTATTATAATATGATCATCAAGCTTTTAGTAATATGAAAGTCCGTGACATAAAAAGTTGGTGATGTACTGTCCCATTCAGTGTGTTTCTTAGTCAGGATATAGGATTCAATCTGTACTTCCATCCTTAGTTGAACGTCTTGTCTGCAATGGTACATAAGAAAATATCAGAATATTTAGTAAAGGCGAAATTGAACTTTCTATAAAGGCGACATATTTTCTGTCTCTGTCAAAGTTGAGCTCTGCTGCTTCTATGTTGAGACTAAAATAATAACCGAAAATCAAATGTACAACTAAAAGCCACAAGCCTTGCCTTATAATGCTTACCTAGCCAAATATTCTTAGTCATTGTTTAAGCCCCTTATTAATTAACTCTTTTCTTCTCATCTTTATTGGTGTTGTTGCTGCTGTTGCTGTTGTTGCGGTTGTGTCCTTAGATCTTCATCCTCAACCACCGTCGACTCGTCGTGCGACCAAAAACTGGCCGACATTTGAGATGATGACATGCCACCCACGCCAGGGAATGAATCCTCCATTAACGTACTTGATGCACAGCTCGTAATGCTCCCCGACATCTGAGAGTTTCCAGCGCTGGTCTGATACGTAGCCGTTGTACCAGCTGAGCTGGTAGTTTGTTCAATGCACAGGTTTAGAGAATCAACGGAGATATCCTTGGACATGCCGCTCTCATCCAGAGGCAACTCATGAATGCCACTTCCACCTCCGCCGCTGGTAACCGTTGTGGTGGTTATCACACGTGTGACAGTGTGTTCTTGGCCATCGGCGTCTGTGCTGGTGGTTGTGGTTGTTGTGGTGGTGGTTAAACCATCTCCTAACGTTACACCACCACCAGTGACCAGCTTGGACATAAGATCCAGTTGCTCATCCCCAAACGATTCAATACTCTCCTGTCGCGAATGGCGCTTATCTATTTCCAAGGAGTCAATGTCCGAGCGTGTGGTCGCATCTTTGGAGATATCGAAGCTCTCTATGCTGCTGGTCATCATGTCATGGCTTCGAATCTCCATGCTATCGATGCTGTCCTTCTCTGAATCCTGGCTGTCAATTTTTGACTTCGGTTCCAGCTCGGTGGTTGACAGCTCGGTTATCTTGACTGTGCCACTAACTGCCTTCGAGTCGAATTCGTCCCTCTCCAGTTGTTGCTTGAGCAAGAGTTCAAGGTTTTCCGCTTGGCCAGCTGGCAGCACTTCAGTGCGGGTCACAGTGCGCGTTACCTTGGTAACCACCACATTGCCAGAGGCACCATGGTCGCTGCCGTTTGATTTGTTGGATTCGTCTGAACGTGAGAGCATTGCCGCCTCCTCCTTGGCTTTGATCTCAATTAAATGAGCTTCAATGCATGCATTTTCCAGTCCCTCAAAATCTTTGAGGCTAGATATTGAGACATCATCGCCAGGCGCTGTTCCACTGCCACTGTGTCTCACCATGTAGCGGCGTGTAAAGCTACCATTACTAGAATCTGTGGAGCCTTGGTGGCCACGATTTCGGTTCTCTAGCGAAATGGCTTGCTCCAGGGATTCGAACTCTTGCAGGCTGCTCATGGACACATCATCGTGCTCACCGCGCGAATGATATCGACGTGCTGCCAAATCATATTCTGGTGTACTCGAGAAGGAATCCTTGAAGCTGCTAATGCGACTGCTGCCCACCTCAAACTCGCCATCTTCCTCCTTAATATCCTCCAATACAGCGCCCGCTAGATCATAGGGATAGCGCAGTTGTGTGTCAGTCAGCTGCATCTCGACCCAACGCTTATTAGCAGCTGCAGTATCGCTTGAATCGCTTTCCTCCTGCTGTTCGCTGCTGCTGCTGGCTCCAGTTGGCGGACTTTCTTCGAACTCAAAGTTGAGGTCGTCCTTGTACAGCTGGGAACCCAATTTGGGATCGGCAGGTGCTGATTTGATTATAATTTTTTCAACATCCTGATCATGCTTTTGCTCATATTTGGTTGGCTTAATCTTTATGCTTTTTCCGCCCAGATCAACCTCATTGGCCTCTTTGGCCACCTCCTCAATGATGACAAACTCATCTGAGATATCAGGTTGTTCAACCATTTCAAAGGAGTCGGGCGAATCAGCTGCTCTTTGATCATCGTAATCGGCACCTACTTCGGCTCGCTTGAGCTCTTCGAGCTTCTGCTTATATTGTTCCTGCACACGCCTCTGGAAGTCGAGCTCCTTTTCTTCCTCTCTAGCTTTTTGGTAAATGGCCGCATCACTTGCCTTGTTTAGCTCCTCCTCAGTGCGAACTTTATACAAAGTCTTCTCCGGAAAGTCATCGGTGTCTTCTTCCAAAATCGGTGACTTTACATCCTCGGTAACCATTATGTCAGGGATATTGGAGTAGTCTTGCATATTTTGCGAAGGTCGTCGCTCTTCTATCATGGCTGCTTCCGCTTCCAGCTCCTCTGTCGCATCCTCAACAATAACTTCGGCTACCAGCTGAGAGGGTGTGAATGGACGTTTCTCAAGCTCTGAGCTGTGATCCATCTCAGCAGCTGCTTGCTTTTTTTTCTTATGCTTTCGTTCTTTCGGAGAGCGGAATTGACGAGCATATTCGGATTCGTAGGGGTCTGTATCAGACTCACTTTCCGATTCCTTGCCTTCACCTGGTGTTGGTGTATCTTTGTCTAAATTCTTTAACGCGTCTCCCGAAATTGTTGTACTCTCGTTGCGCTTGTGACCACGCCTCTTCGACTCACTGCCAGGCGGTGTACTGGCATTCGAGTCTTGTGGCGAACTTTCTTTACTTTCCATTTCCATAATAAATGTGTCTTCGGGTACTGATGCGGATGGAATTGGATCCTCATGGCCATACTGAAAACCTTCAATACCTGTCAATGACGAGGAGCCAGCAGAGCCGATTATATCGTCAAAGTTTTCCACAACAGTATCAATATTTGATGTACTCGACATGCTGACAGAGAGGATACTTCCCTCATCTAAGCTTGAAGCTAGCTTCGACTCGTCAATTGAACGCCTCGAATCACCGTGATAGAGCAGTATATCTTCTCCTTTTTCGCTTTCACGGGGGCTATCCATCTTTCCCTCTTTCTCTTCAATTGGATAAGCTAGTCCCCAAGTGCGTTCGATCTCTCTCGGTTTGGGATACTCCTCAGTCTGTGCTGTCTCTGACGTTTGTTGCAGAGGCATAACTTCAGACTCCGACTTGGGCTTGAATATCATTTCCTGAGAGCGCTTCATCGCGCTTTGCTGTTCAGTTGTGGGATAGGCAGAGGCTATCATATCAAGGCTCTCATCACTATCGTCGTCATCAGCTCGCAGCTCGTGCAGGCGAGCCATTTCTTCAGCCTCCAAGGCGTCAGCTTCTGTTGAAGATGCTACCAGAGTCTCTGATAGCTCAGAGACATCAATGCTTATCAGATTGGCTGAAGTTTCTGACTGGGAGTCCAGGCTGCGCATGCTCTCATGCGAGCTAATCGACTTTCCACTGCTGCTACCTAAAGTACTGACTGCACTCACATACTCGGTGCCATCACGACATGTGGAAGGTGTGAAATCACGAGCAGTTTGATACTCGCTTGATGTTCCGGTACCTGTAAGCAAGTTTTCTACATCTGACGATAGTGGACGACTCTGTGTTTTATCGAAACTCTTATGGTAGCTGTCACTGGAGCTGGAGTGATCTACATCTGGAATGGACCAGCGGTTGGTGGAGTCTGGCGACGAATCAGTTTTTATGCGATGTACTACTAAGTCGACTGGCTTAATACTGTGATCAGAAACTGCTTCCTCAAAGGTGCTGCTGATCGACTTATCAGCAACGTTGCCCTCTGCGACAATAGATGCTGTGGCTAGCCTCTCTGTGTAATAGTCCTCCATGGAGCTAAAGTCTTCAGCTGTTTCAGTAGATATGAAGCCAAGTGAGACTTGCTCCTCCTTTGCCAAACGCTCCTCCATTGAACTAAAGTCTTCAGCTGTGCCTGTTGAAACAAATCCTAGGGAGCCATGATCATCACGTCGATCTGCTTCGCTAGGCACATCGTTACCGTAATGAGCAATGACAGCTTGTTTGTTTAATGTCTCCTTTAATGTTGTATCAAAGAGACCCTCTGGTGGTTTAGTAGCATCTATTGTGGAGCCTTGACGTTCTGGTATGCCTATAAAAGATGAAGCATCCTCAACTTCAATATCAGAACTTAAATCTTGAGGCACTTTGCTAAGCTCAAACTCCCTTTTAACAGCCCCCTTGGATTCTTGAATTTTTTCTATGGGTTTCTCAGTCTGAGGCTGCTGTGGCGAATGAAGTACCTTTGGCTTGCCTGCAGTTGGAATTTCTTTTTCAGCCATTTCCCACTCACTTTTCTCAAGTGGCACCTCGAATTTGTCTGGCTTCTCAATAATAGTGTTGACTATTTCTGGAATTTCCTTACTTGATTCTTCGCTACTCGAAGGCGCCACCTCGATAACCGCACGACCACTAGAGCCGGTCGACGTGGTTAAGCTTTCTTCGGTGGTTACTTTAGACAACTTAGCTTCGGTGGTTTTATCTTTTTCAGCATTTTCGAATTCCAGGATATCATTTCTAGTTTCCGAGCTTTGTCTAATTATTTTGCTATCCAAAGCAACTGAATCATCGGGTTTCATAGTTACGTATTCCTTAAAGGCGTCATTAGCTTCATCTGAATCAACTGAGACTTCCTTCATAAGGCATATATCCTTTGCTTCGATCTCGGTCATTTCTGTCTTCGGCTCTTCGTCCTGCGGCGTCATACTAGGGGATTTCGTAAAGGTTTTCGTGATTACATTTCGGCTTGATTCGCCAATGTAAAAGCTTGTTGTCTTCTCGACACCTTCAGATTTTTCAGTGTCTGCTTCGTCTACTGAAATTTCGCTGGTTGGCTCGAAGCTTTCAGTGTGATCCTCAGATGCAGTTGTGGTTGTTGTTGTGACAATATCCCTTAGCTGCGAACGGATGGACAGCTCTGTGGAGGGCTCGTCTGTTTTGGAAATATCCTCTGTAAAATCGAAACTACGTAGGCTAATGCTGTCGGATTGCTCGCCCAATGCTGCCAGATTCTCAAACTGATCTGTGTGCTTAATAGGAGCACGGGGCTTCGGAACTGGTGCAGATGCATCAATATTTATATCGATCGGTATGTCTGATTGCAGAACTTGATTTGGAATGGTGGTGCTATCTGTGCCTTCGGAGATGGAGTCGGGCGGGCTTGCTTTGAGTACGCGAGGTTTTGGTGTGGGTGTGTCTTGACTGGTGGTCGTGAATGTATTGGTTTCGACCACCGTTTCAGCTGCTGTTTTAGTTGTTGTTGTTGTTGTGACAACAGCCGACGGTGGTATAGGAGTGGTATCGGTTGAGATTGGTAAATCGCCGCCTGTTTCTACAAAACAATAGGTGTGAAAATAAAAGCAATTTTAAAAGTGTGTTGCGAAATTGAAATCAGAAAGAAGATGAGAAAGAGGAAACACAAGTATACACAAGAGAGCAGGAGGATGAACAGAACAGAGTGTAATATAAGAGATATGAGTGATTAGTAAATAGATTGATAGATAGGTTCATAGAGGTAGAGTAGATAGATAGATTGATAGAATAGGTGTGAATGATTGACTGACATTTATGGAGTTGACATGCATATTTCATATGAATAAACTAGAACAAATTGTAACAATTCGAAACATAAGATTAAATGCAATTAGAGCTCAACTTGAACAAAAAGTATTTAGATATTTTCGCTTTTATTGGCCGCCATTTCACAGGTGTTTATGAAACGTAAACCAATAACGAATGTTATATGTTTTACATCTAGATTTTGTATTCACAATCTACAGAAGTCACCAATAGAGGAACCATATACAAAGCAATATTTATGTATAAATCAATGTGTTAAGTGTGTGGCTATATAGTTGTTATACTGATGATACCTGTAGTCAATTCTTGTATGTCATTATCGGGCGTTAACTGGGTTTGTGCCATATCGGCCATTGTATTAGTTGTGGGCGAAACACTATCATCCCAACTGAGCTTCGAATACTCGCCCTGCAGGGCGCTTATCTCATCCTCTTGTACAACTGTTTCGAATGCCTCATCGAATCGGGCGCTGACATCGTCGACGTCAGCGGATAGCTTTTCGATCTTGTGCTCGATGCGTCTGGTACGCACCTCCATTTTGTCTTCCCCTTCACTAGGCTCTACACACATACATACGCGATTTGTAAGTATTTTTGGGGATGAGACATGATCAACGGGTAGCAAGCATACAAAGAATATAGGATAATGATTAAATTTAACGGACTACTGCGACCCAATATGTGGGAGTGTATATTTGATGGCGCTAAGGTCCTATAAGGTTCCTGCTAACTGCTATTATTGTACATCGAACAGATTGTTGCCATGGCATTATAGATTACCTTTTGCTGTCGATGAGGCAAGTGGCTGTTGCTGTTGTTGTTGTTGTTGTTGGAATTGCGTTGTTACTGTTGTTGTTGTAGTTGTTGCTGTTATGTTTTGGGCATGCAAGGGTAAATTAATGTGCTCATCTGTGAAACTCATATTATCATCGAATGATTTGCCCGACATGGACTCAATAGTTGGCGATTTGATGACATCAACGCCGACAATATCGTCGCATGTTATGGCATAATTCTCACTCTCAGAATTGTATTCGTGCTTTATGAAATCGTGGCCATTGGGCTGATCCCCATGGCCTTCAATGAAATCGACACTCTCTTCGAGCACATTATCGACTAGAATTTTGGCTTCCTCGCGTATGCGTGCCACACGATTAACATCGTCGCCATCATCACCTTCACCAACTTTAAGATCACCTGTAAAACAATTGCACATATTCATTGATAGGTAGAAATTAGACAGACAGATAGTTGACAAGCTTGGAAATCATGAACGGCATGAGAAGCGAATTATCAAAATCTTGTGATTAATTTGAATACGTATGTGCAGTATTATGTGTTAGGTAGAAGATGGAGTTGAAAATGCGGTGATATTGGTGAAGTGAGCGAGATCTTTGAGCAGCGTATACGGTTTGTCAAACTGAGTTAATTGACTTAATAACTTTTTGACTCAATGAGCTTTAATTGCATTTGTTAAACAATAAGAAATCACTTATAATTATCAAAAATACTTGTGAAGCGCATGAGAAAATGTTCGCGCAAAATCAAGATAAGCATTTTATTTAGACGGTAGATCGCTGAACTTACCAAAAGTATGACAGATATTCTCTGTATGCAGAATGGTTGGGGCAATTGTTGTGTTCGTAAGGCCTTCTGTAAACGAACAAGCGAATGATTAGTAAGAGTATGGAACTTTGGGAGAGTAACATAAAAGTAACCTAAAAGCGATTACATACGTTAATTATACGCTACAAAATAAAATGATAACACGGACTCAAAATAAGGACGAAACAAACAGATTCCAAAGATCTTTTTTCACATTTCTGTTAGCTCTAATTACTAAGTACTTAGAATGTTAGTTGCACGACGCTTAGGTGATTAGAAATGTTGTTTTTGTTAGTATTGTACGGGGGCACAAAGTTAAGGGAGACATTAGCATTTAAATTCAGGCTTTTTGTTGCTTGTTGTGTGGTGAAAACTTTAACGAAAATTTAATTTTATGCATGTTAATTATTAATTGTTTGGGTTTACTTACAATATGCTTGAGTGTATGTGTTAAATATTTTCAGTTGAATTTATTCATTATATTAGATAGCTTATTTAGACACTTATACGAGTTATGCAGCTATTGTTAAATTGGTTGTTTGGTAAGGATTGGATACTTGAAGACTAGTTGTCGACTCTAGCGGCCGACTCATCGGACTCAACATATTCCACATCGGTATGGGCGTCTCTTATCACGCCCTTTATATGCACCCTTTCGGCGTCGGCATTGTAGCTCCTGCCGCTTTTCTCATGTACCACGGTATAGCTCTCATTCAGCATATCGTTCAACTCTTTGCTGTTGCTATTGGCCACCTTGATGACCGGTGGCTCGAGTACGTCCTCTGCATCAGATGGGAGTTGCACGTCCTCCACATCTGTGTTCTGCTGACTGATTGCGTCGTTTTTAAGCAAACGCAAGTGAAGTGGCTGCACTTTATATGTATTCTGGGACACCTTGGGTAGTTCAGCTGGCGGTAAGGATGAATCAGAACCAGAACCAGATACATCATCGGTGGAAGCTTCATCGGAATCAGTGTAGCCCTTGGCTTGTTGCTTCAGTTGGGCCACACGCTTCACGCTGGGCGGTAAGTCACATTCACTCAGTTCCATGTCCTCTACATCGGTTATGCCATCCTCTTTGCCCTTGACAATATCAAGCAGCTTGTTTTTTCCCTTGCTTAGAGTGCGAGTCTTCATCTTCTTTCGTCGATTGGTGCCGGCCACAAAGATTTCCTCAACATCAGTCACAGATTCGGCATTCGAAAGCACCTCCAAACGCTTATTTTGCTGCTTCAACAATTCATTGGAGACAATGACTTCATTTTCTATAAGACTCGCTGCTCCCATGGCCATTTCCTCGGCAAGTGAGATATTTGTACTCAAGTCTTCGGCACACGAGTATTCATCTGAATCGGTATTATTCACGTCTTTCAAGTGATTGTATATACCAAACTCATAATTGCTCTTCATTGGCATAACATTGGTAATCGTATCTCCATTCTTATCCTCTTTAAGCTCAACGACCTCGCGATGGGGCACTGGCAATGCCTCGGAGGCAACAGGAATGATTTCGGGCAAGGCGCTTTCAAGTGAAAGGTCATCGCAGCACATGTCCTCTACATCAGTTAGGCATGTACCATCATCACCAGAGGCTAGAATGATAGCACGTGGAATCGGCTGTTCATCTTCATCCTCGTCAAAGCTATCATCTGCTGCTGAATCATCGATGCCCTCAATATCTGTGAGCACCTCTTCGTGTTTCGGAGCCACTTGCAGGAAATCATTTTTCTCAGTATTGAATAGTGTTGACCTTGAGTTCCGGCGGTGCTCTCCACTAGCGTTAATGAAGGCCACATCGATTGGTGGCAAACTGGCTTCACTGATGCTCGCGCTCCTGGCAGCAGCGCCGCCCGATTCCGACTCAGAGCCCGAACAGGCTATTTGACATACCTCTTCGCTGCCACTGCCAGACACCTGGAGCACCTCGTCCTCAGAGTTGCCGCGCGCATGAATACCAATGCCGGTGCAGTCGGACATGGCGGATGCCAAGTCACTAATGTCGCTAACGGCGGAGATATCTTCATATTGGTCAGAGTCATCTTCGTGCTTCTCGCCATCGGCTATGTTCACACGTCCCTGATCTCCCACAGCATTGTCTAAGTCAACACAGACAGACTTTTCACAGCCATAGTCCACCTCGGAGTCTGTGTCGTAGTCTTCGCAGTCGGTTAACAAATCGGCCAGGCCATTCAGATTTTGTGCTTGAAGAAAATTGCCATCTTTGATTTCACAGCTCTCCCTAGCATCGTTGTCCACAGCTTGCTGGTTTTGCAATCCTTGCTGTAAGAATTCGCGCAATGACAATTTCAACTCGGGATAAGCAACGCTTTTGTCATCATCGTCCGATTCTGTGTCGTAGTCCTCCACGTCAGTAACATCGTTCTCAAGAGGACTTGGTTTTTTCGGCTGGGGTTTTAGTCTTGGCGATACATTACCAGAGCTGTGCCGAGAGTTGAGTCTTAGTACCTCAGCCTGGCTATCGAAATCCTCAACATCTGTGACGCCGCCGTTGCTGTGGCCATAGTCCATATCATTGCTATCGGAGTCATGTGAGGATGAGGAAGAATTGGAATGCTGCTCGGCAGTTACGGATATAGTTGGGAGTTTTTTGGACATATTGGTGGGTTTGGTTGGTTTGGTTGGTTTGGTTTGGTTTTACTTGATTGAACTGTGGTTTTTATATATTTGTATTGGGTTTAGTTATTTGCGTTAGCTAGTTGTGGAAAATAAGTTAAAATTAAATTGAATAAAAGCATTTTGCAAATTGATATCAATTAGAAAAGTTGCGTAATGTTTTGTATTGCCCTAAGCATGGTGGGTATCGCTCTAAGCTATGCTTAATAAATGTATGATAGTGCTCTAAGCCTAAATGTATCTATTTACCTTTGGTTGTGCAGTATTTCTCCGTCTCTTTCTTTTGACGACTCTCACTCACCGCCACAATGCTGCCGCTCTCGACATGCAATTGTTGCGATGATTCTACTGCACTGCCCGATGAACCTACATGAGCATGCTGGTGCTGATGGTGGCGCCGCAATGTTTCCTCAATTAAGGCTAAGGGACTACGAGTTGGCTTTGGGGAGCCGGGGCTGGCGGCCTGCAAGCGCTCGGGATCACCAGCGCCAAACATGGGCAGTGCAACAGAGTCGGAGAGACTGGAATCGGTGGTATCAATAAAGCTGACATCGAATTCGTTAACATAGCGCTGCTGTTCATTTGTGGATTGCGGACGCATGCCAATCGATGAATGGTGCTCTCCATCAAAATCGGGCTGGCGGTAGATTACTTCTAGGGGTTTGTCGGGGCCGAAAGTCTTAGTGAAAACCTCGCTGGTTAGCACCTTGCGACTGTTGCTGCCGCTACCAGAGGATGATGAGGTAGAGCTTTTTGTACTATCACTTGATTTAATTGATCGTATGGTTATCACCTCGGAGTCGTCATCAACGAGCACGGTGCTAACCGCGCCGGTTGTGGCCGTCGGTGCCTTGTGAACGCGCACTGTCGATGTTGATGTGGTAACCTTCTGCTCTGCTGATAGCTTCATATTGGTCTTCTCTTTGTCAGTCTTACGACTGACCGTCACGGAACGAACGCTGCGTCTAGTGCTGCTGGAGGAGCCACTGGCACTGGTACTGCCACTGGCTGAAGTGCTCGACTCGTTCATTGTATCTTTCATCTGTTTTTGAAGTTTGGGCTCTATGGAACTGCGTATGTTTTTGCTACTTCCCTCGCTCACTTTGCTCACTGTCTTCCTAACGATTTTCTTATTGTCTATCTGAGGTTTTAAAACGGTGTCATCACTTTTGTTGCTTAGCTTAGATGAAGTTTTTGGTGTTACGGAAGACAAGCTAACTGGAACTTTGGTGCGTTGTTGCATAGTTGTTGTAGTTTTCTTCTGTAGACTTTTGTTATCAGATTCTATGGAAGTTCTGTAGACAATGGATTTAGTTGCATTAGCTGATTGTGTCTTCATGCTTTTAGTTATTTGGCTCTTGGAGCCTATCACGTTTGTTTGTTTATTCTCTTTGGATGTTTGTTTTTTGTAAAGGCGATCCGTACTCTTTAATGACTCCTTACTATCTGTGTGGGAGCCTCTTTTGGTCAAAACTAAAGGCTTTTCTGTACTCAATTTCTTTTGTTTTTGATCTATTGACGAGTTTTTTGTCAAGGCACTTGTCACATTCTTTGTCTTATATACACTTTGTCGATTGGTTTGTGTCGGAGCTGGAGATTTTGGCGGTGCTGGTGATTTAGCTGGAGCCGGAGTCACACTTCGGCTTTCGTTCTCGGCATTCCGGCCGTAACGCATACTGTGAGCTAATGTTGGCTGCATATATCGGTGTGTGGTGGTAGATGGAGTTGGCGTTTTTGTTCGCTTTTCTTCGACAATTTTTGTCTTTGAGGTGGTCTCTTTTTTCATTTTTATATTAACCACTTTTGCGTTTTTGCTAACATCCTTTCTTACGATAGTTGTTTTCGCTGTTGTGGCTTTAGTTGACGGACTTGCGGAGCGAGCTGAGCTGTTGTATGGTATTTTAGTGACATCTGTTTTCACCCTAGGTCTAGGCGTTGTGGAGCGACTATTATCGCCTTGAGGATGACTTTCATAAAATATTGAGCTTGATGCTGGACTTGAAGATCTTTCAAAGTGAATTTCACTTATTACTCTACTTGTAGCCGATGCGGAGCTTGTCGTTGTGGAAACAGAGCTTGTCACTGATCTCCTCGACTCGGGTTTCTTATCAGCTTTCGACGATTCACTTGACATGGGTTTGGGCTGCCCGGATAGTTTGCTTGCGACCTTTGTAACTTTTGGCTGTGTTTGTGGAGCTTTCTTTTCTATTGTCCTTGGGTTTTCCTTATTATCTATTGGTTTTTTAGTCTGTGGTTTTATTTTTGCAGCTGCCGTCGATTTTGCATTGAAACTGCTTATAAGTTTTGGTTTTGTAATTGGAGTCTTCGTTTCCTTTAATTTATTTGGTACTACATCTATACCTGTGTCGTCTAACTTCACAAAATAGGCAACAGGGCGAACTTCTTTGCACTCAATATTTTTTCTGTCATGAGAAGTTATTTCATCTTTCAACTGACTAACCCCCGAAGCTTTTTCTCCTACTATAATGTAAGCATTTTTTAATGTATCTTCTACAATATCTTCAACTGACCGTTCACTTTCGGTAAATATATCATCCTTATGATCTAATTCTTTACGAGCCTGCAGACATTTAAGAGTTTCATTAACAATTTTTTCTGCCTCCTCATCCCCAGCTCTTAAAGTCTCTTCAACTATTTGTTGAACAGATCTTGTATCATATACATCAACCACGCCATCCGAAAATCCCTTATGAGCTGAGATTGCAAAACTAGTTGGGGACTTGGGTTTATCAACAGACTCCCGAGTCTCACTGACAGAAGTAATTTTACTTGTAGTCATAGA